CCATAGGGGGTGTGCAGCCCAACCTTGATCTCTCTGCCCAGGGACAACCAGGGAGTGCCCCAGTCTCTATGTGGATATGTGGGAAGAGGGTGGGACAGAGCAGCCCCAATCTGGATGTAGGAAGGCGGGTGCAGGGAACAGCTCAGCTCTGATCTTGATGCACAGAAGGGACAGGGGTAGGGTGGATAGGCCCCAATCTGGACCCACAGGAAGGGGCTGTGGAGGTGTGGGGGAAGCAGCCCCTATTTGGACATGTGGCAGGGATGGGGAACAGCTCAGCCCAATCTAAACATGGAGGGGTTGGTGAGGCCCTGATACCAGTTTGCCACAATGGCCCGGGCTAGTCTGGACCCAGCCCTGTGGAACCTCCCCCAATCCCCCACTGTCAATTTTTCTGATCCATGGGGATTCCCACAGGCTGGATGTCACAGCTCTGTGGGCCAGATTTGGCCAGCAGGCCGGAGGTTGAGCACTTCTGCATTACAGCAGTGGTCCTCAATCTTTGTACTTAAGGCATCCCTCATTTAATCGAATCATAGAAAATTCAGGTTGGAAAGGACCTCAGGAGGTCATATAGTCCAGCCCCTTCCTCAAAGCAGGACCATCCTCAACTAGCATCCTAGCCAAAGCTTTGTCCACCCCTGGTCTTACAAACCCTAAGGATGGAGATATTCTACAACCCCTCTGGGTAACCTGTTGCAATGTTTTTCCTCCTATCTAACCTACATTTCCCTTGTTGCAACTTGAGGCCATTGCTGCTTGTTCTGTTATTTGCCACAGCTGAGAACAGCGGAGCTCCATCTTCTTTGCAACCCCCTTCATGTAGTTGAAGGCTGTTATTAAATCCCACCCCTGCCAAGGCACCCCTCAAAATGCCAGCTCTTAATTTTCACTTGTTTTTTGACTGCAGAAAAACGATAGAATGAGGGGCATGGGCTGCTTAGGGAGCTGTCTTGTATAGGACTGACTGCTGGTTGACATGGAGTTAGACGTGCTTTCCAATGCAAGACGCCTGTATTGGAAAGCTTGTCTAACTCTGTCCCAACTACCCAGTTGGCCCAATAAAGACCAGCACCCTGAGCAGTCTGTGCCTCCCACCATTTCTGGACCATCGCAGCAGGGGCGGTGCCAGCCTCTTCCCAGCGGGGGGCTGAGGTGGGCTAGATAGAAAACTGGAGGGGCTTGCGCTATACATTTTCTGGCCAAATACACTTATTTCTTTTTTTTAATAATACCCACTTAAGGCCTCTGCGAGTGGGAGCGGGGTGGGCTGCAGGGTTGGTGGCATGGCTCCAGGCAGGGGTGGCTATGGGGGTGCTGAGGCAAATCTGGGGGTGGCTATAGGTGCCCAAAGAAAAATAACAGGGCAGTTCTTCAGCTGCAAAGAGCTCAGCCCATTTCGATTCTGCTGCGAAGTCTCTGGGTTTCTCCTGCCAGCCCCGGCTGCGCCCCTACAGCACCCTTGCGAGGATCCCCCGGCTCCCCAGGGTGCTGTGGCACCCGGCTGAGAAGCGGTGTGGTAAAGGGAGGCAGGGACCGCACCTCCCAGGCCCTCAAGCCCCGGCCTCAGCCGCCCGAGCGGGGTCCAGCCCGCGCCCCGCAGGGGCCGGTACGGCGCCTGGACCCCGCTGCTCGGCCCTGCCC